CTCCTTCTCGGGCTCTATGGAAGACTTCCTTGGGGGGTCTCCTTCTTGGGCTCTGGGAGGAACTTTCCTGGGTCTCCTTCTCGGGCTCTAGGGAGACTTCTGGCGTCTCCCCTTCTCGGGCTTCGGGCGACTTCCTGGTCTCTCCTTTCGGCCTCTGGGGCGACTTCCTGGGTCTCCTTCTCGGGCTCTTAGGGTGACTTTTCTGGGTCTCCTTCTCGGGCTCTAGGGTGACTTCCTGGGTCTCCTTCTCCTTCTCGGTGCTCGAGGGTGACATTTACGGGGGTTCTTCGGTGACGGGGGACTTTCCTGGGTCTCCTTCTCGGGGTCGAGGGTTGACTTCCTGGTCTCCTTCTCGGGCGGTGCGACTCCTGGGTCTCCTTCTCGGGCTGGTGACTTCCTGGGTCCCTTCCTCGGGCTCTAGGGACTTCTGGGTCTCCTCGGGCTCTCGGGACTTCCTGGTCTCCTTCTCGGCTCTAGGGAGACTTCCTGGGTCTCCTTCTCGGGCTCAGGGAGACTTCCTGGGTCTCCTTCTCGGGCTCTAGGGAGACTTCCTGGTCTCCTTCTCGGCTCTAGACTTCCTGGGTCTCCTTCTGGGCTCCCAGAGGGCGAGGACCATCCTCGTCCCGAGGGTATGGATGACCTCTTGGGCGACTTTCTGGGTCTCCTTCTCGGGCTGTAGGGTGACTTCCTGGGTGAATTCTGGGTCTTCCTTCTCGGGCTCTAGGGAGACTTCCTGGGTCTCCTGCGGGCTCTAGGGAGACTTCCTGGGTCTCCTCGAGCTCTAGGGCGACTTCGGGTCTCCTTTTCGGGGCTCTAGGGACTTCCTGGGTCTCCTTCTCGGGCTCTAGGGAGGACTTCTGGGTCTCCTTCTCGGGCTCTAGGATGACTTCCTGGGTCTCCTTCACGGGCTCTAGGGAGACTTCCTGGGTCTCCTTCTCGGGCTCTAGGAGGACCCAGAAGTCCCTGGGACCTCCAAATCGTCGGTAGGAACGGTATGGGCTCTAGGGGACTCCTGGGTCTCCTTCTCGGGCTCTAGGGAGACTTCCTGGGTCTCCTTCGGGAGACTTCCTGAGGGCCTTCCTGGGTCTCCTTCTCGGGCTCTAGGGAGACTTCCTGGGTCTCCTTCTCGGGCTCTAGGGAGACTTCCTGGGTCTCTGGCTCTAGGGAGACTTCCTGGGTCTCCTTTCTAGGGCGACTTCCTGGGTCTCCTTCTCGGGCTTCCTAGGGAGACTTCCTGGGTCTCCTTCTCGGGCTCACTGGGCTCCTCTCGACATTCCTGGGTCCTCTCGGGCTCTAGGGGACTTCCTGGGTCCTCCTTCTTCCTGGGTCTCCTTCTCGCCTCTTCAGGCGACTTCCTGGGTCTCCTTCTCGGGGCTCTTCGGTGACTTCCTCGGTCCCCTTCGGCCTTCAGCGACTTCCTGGGTCTCCTCGGGCTCTTCGGTGACTTCCTGGGTCTCCTTCTCGGTTCCCTGGGCGACTTCTGGGTCTGGGTCTCCTGGGTCTCTTCATTCACGGCTCCTGGGCGACTTCCTGGGTCTCCTCGGGCTCCGAGGTGATCTTTCTGGGTCTGTCTTTTCGTGCCTCGAGGGTGACTTCCTGGGTCTCCTTCTCGGCTCGAGGGTGACTTTCTGGGTCTCCTTCTCCGGGCCCGAGGTGACTTCCTTGGGCTCCTCCTCGAGCTCCTGGGCGACTTCCTGGGTCTCCTTCTCGAGCTCTTGGGTCGACATTTCCGTGGATCTCCTTTTCGGGCTCTTTGGGCGACTTCCTGGGTCTCCTGTCCCGGAACTCTGGCGACTTCCTGGGTCTCCTTCTCGGTAGCTCGAGGGTGATTCCTGATCTCCTCTTCGGTGCTCGGGGTGACTATCCTGGGTCTCCTTCTCGGCTTCCTGGCGAACTTCCCTGGTGAATCTCCTTTCCTCGGGGCTCGAGGGTGACTTCCTGGGTTTCCTTTCACTCGGTGCCTACTTTTCGGCGCTTCCTGGGACTCATCTCGAGGCTCTTCTAGCGACTTCCTGGGTCTCCTTCTGCGGGCTCTTCGGTCGACTCCTGGGTCTCCTTCTCGGGCTCCTGGGCGACTTCCTGGGTCCCTTCTTGGCTCCGAACGGTGAACTTTCTGGGTCTTCTTCCCCGGGGCTCTGGCGACTTCCTGGGTCTCCTTCGGCGGGCTCGAGGGTGTAAACTTTACATGGGTTCCCTCGGGCTCGAGATGACTTCCTGGTCTTCCTTCTCGGCTCTCTGGGGCGACTATCCTGAGGTTCTCTCTCGGGCATCCCCCCACCCCCCCCCCCCCCCCCCCCTCCCGAGGGTGACTTCCTGGGTCTCTTTTCGTGGCTAAGAGGGTCGACTTCCTGGTCTCCCTCTCGGGCTCAGGGTTGACTTTCTGGGTCTCCTTCTCGGCTCGAGGGATGACTTCCTAGGTCTCCTCGAGCTACCTGGGGGCGAACTTCCTGGGTCCTCCTTCTCGAGCTCTTGGGCGACTTCGCTTGGATCTTCCTTTTCG